CATCGAGGCTCGAGACATCCCCAAAACGGCCATAACTACACCTTTTGGATTATTCGAATTCACCCACATGACTTTCGGACTGTGCAACGCGGCGCAAACATTCCAACGATACATGCATTCCGCATTTTGAGATGGATTTTGTCTTCGTTTACGTCGATGACATCGCGGTTGCATCAGTTAACATGGAGCAGCACAAACTTCACCTCCGCAAAGTATTTGAACGACTGCGCCAATTCAACCTCACCATAAATCCAGCTAAATGTAGTTTCGGAAAGAAGTCGATCGATTTCTTAGGCCATCATATCGATTCAAACGGCATCAAACCACTGCCAGAGAAAGTAAAGGCCATTTCGGATTTCCCTCTGCCCAAAGTCGCAAAGGAGCTACGCAGGCTCATGGCAATGATTAACTTCTACAGGCGATTCTTGCCAAATGCAATTCAACATCAGGCACCGCTAAACCAACTTATCCCTGGAAATAAGAAGAATGACTCAACTCCAATCACTTGGACTGCCGCTACTATCAACGATTTCGGTGAATGTAAGCGAACTCTTGCAGAGGCAACGTTACTTGTACACCCAACACCCTCTGCGCCACTTTCTCTCTGCACAGATGCAAGCGATTTCGCAGTTGGAGCAGTACTACATCAAGTCGTGAGCGGCCAGTTTCAACCAATGGGATTTTTCAGTGTAAAGGTAACTGAAACGCAACGCAAGTATAGCACATATGATCGAGAACTGCTCGCTATATACCTCAGCATCAGACACTTTCGCTACATGCTAGAAGGAAGAACGTTTGACATTCGCACAGACCATAAACCTTTGGTATACGCTTTTTCGCAAAAACCTGAAAAAGCCTCCCCACGGCAACTTCGACAATTGGATTTCATTAGCCAATTCACTACCTCTATCGTGCATGTGGCTGGAATTGAAAACACTACTGCTGACGCGCTTTCCCGCATCTCAACCATCGAACGCGAAATTATAGACTACAACCAACTCAGCATCGCACAAGCAAGTTGCAAAGAACTTAAACGACTACTGAACGACAACACCACTGCATTGCAGTTGAAGTCAATCAGCTTTCCCAACTCTACCAATTCAATAGTTTGCGATTTATCTACTTCCAGCGTGCGACCTTTTGTTCCAGAGCCTCTAAGGAAGAACGTCATCAGAAAACTACACAACATTTCTCACAGTGGAGTTGGATCAACTATAAAACTTATCAAGCAACGCTTCGTATGGCCCTCAATGCACAAGGAGATTTCTCAATTTGTAAAACACTGTACACCTTGCCAAAAATCGAAGATTTCCAGACACGTCCGCTCGCCGCTGCAGCAGTTCACGCTTCCTACACAAAGATTCGATCACATCAATTTAGATCTCATCGGACCATTACCACAATCAGGTCAATATAGATACTGTTTAACAATCATTGACCGTTATACACGTTGGCCAGAAGCCATCGCAATCGAGGACATGCACGCCAACACGGTAGCCTCTGCACTCATCGGCTCGTGGATCTCAAGATTTGGAGTTCCAGCCCGCATCACAACGGATCAGGGCGGACAGTTTGAGTCCCAATTGTTCCATGAATTGTCACGACTGCTAGGAATAGACCACCTTCGCACAACAGCATATCACCCACAAGCAAACGGAATCATCGAACGCTGGCACAGAACACTTAAAGCAGCCATTATGTGCAAAAATCGTGTAAATTGGCTAAAAAAAACTTCCACTGATCCTGCTCGGGTTGCGTTCAGCATTCAAGCCAGACATCCAAACAACATCAGGACAACTTGTGTACGGAACAACCCTTCGCCTTCCTGGAGAATTTTTTCATCAAAAGTCCAATTTCCAACCGCAAACTGACTTCGCAAAGGAACTGGAGGAAATCATGCGAGAAATACGGCCCATCCAGACGGCACATCACGACTCCTCCAAGCCATTTGTTTTTAAAGAGCTGAAACAGGCAACTCACGTCTTCCTACGCAACGACACCGTCCGTGGATCCCTTCAACCGCCTTACGATGGACCTTTTGAAGTGAAAGAAAAGCAATCCAAATACTTCACTATAAACACCGGCACTCGATGCATTAAGGTGTCTATAGACCGACTCAAGCCCGCCTTCATCGAAACTCCGCAGCCAATTATTCCACCCCCAAATCCATCCAGTGACTTCAGCAACAGGATCGAAGACACCGCAACGACCCCTGCTGTTAACCAATCTTCAAGACCTCGTCGGACAATTAGACTCCCTATTCGTTTTACAACATGAAGTCTAGGGGGAGTACTGTGGCGATCATGTTTTCTGCCATCTGGTATCGCTGAAAACTCCTCAGAATAGATTGGTATCAAAAAACCTCTCTGGGCACACTCTTCGAAGAACCACGCTAAAAAGCCCACTAAGAAAACAGATCTCAATTCTGAACAATCACTCAGTATAAAAAAGTACAAAATATATATTAGCATCCAAGTTCTGTGTTTTACTTAAGAGCAGGACTTGCCTTGGTTTGAAGACAAACCATACGTCCTGTAAGCTTTTTTGGGTTTTCCTTCCATTTTTAATTTTTAGTTTCCACGCCGCTTTGCACGAACTCCTCCAAAGAATAGATTTCTTATTCTTTGGGCAGCGGCTAACGGCGTTCATCGAAATTCACTCGCTAAATCTGGGATTTTTTTTTTGGTATTTTTATAAGCTCAGCTGAGTACCGCGCTGAAAAACAGACCCGACGAAAAGCGTTAGCCGCGTGATTGCCTCTCGCTCACTCCTATGGTAAGCTCGCGGTTTTCGTCTATGTGAGTACTAGGCTTAAGCCATAGAACATATATTTGCGTTTTTTCTAACGCTTATGTGTTTTTTACTTTCAAACCAAATATTTCGGGTAGAACTGCGTTAAAATTAATAAAGAAAATAAATTAAATAAATAATAACTTATATATTCGCGCCAATATTTGTGAGTCGTGCTAAAAAAAAATCCTATCCCTACTCGAGTGCTACATGATTCTCTAGTGATGAATCCAGTGATTCATCAACGATGGGCAAATAAATACTAAATATACAAAAAAAATACGAAAAAAATATCAAAAACCAAGCCAAGACACTATTTTTTACACACCTATTAGTCATAGGTAAAATACTATGTAAAGGAAAACGGGTTAATAGCCTCTGCTCACAGCCGCTTAAAAACGCAATGGCAATTTCAAACGGATTTTTATTCACATAGAGAGTCGCTGAAGTGAACAGCTGATCGGCAAAACCAAAACGCTTCCGAAGGAAAAGGACGTGAAAATTGAGATGCCGAGAAAAAAATGGAAAACAGTGCAAAACTTATTACAGTTTGAACGCTAGCATGTGGAATATTGTTAGCGTCAAATTTATTTAGGACAAGATTTCCATTGAATGGTGACCTTCCTTCTCTGACTATATCCATTTCTTATTGGCTTTAAATGGCTTCTTCTATAGATAAATTAAGTATGATTTGATACAACAGGATCCAGGTCTTGCCAGGAAAGACATAAGCTGGAGGTTGGTCGTTTCCTTAAAAAAAGCATAGCAATATTTATTTTCAAGAAGAGATCAATTTCTGAGTTCCGAGGCGATGGAATGCTTCTGAGTTCTGCACCAACAACAATTTTCGTAAACCTGCGCCTGCGAAATCGCCAAGTCTTGCAAAAAAGAAATGAATAGAAACACTGAAATACTTAATTGATTTGAGTGTGCAGCGAAAACAGCCTCTGAGGGAAAAATTGTAAAGCCTAGTACTCAGATCGACGAAAGCCCCGAGCTAGCCATAGGAGTGAGCGAGAGGCAAATACGCGGCTAAAGCTTTTCGTAGGGTCTGTTTTTCAGCGCGGTACTCAGATGAGCTAAGGAAATACCAGAAAAAATACCAGATTTCTCGAGTGAATTTTCGATGAACGCCGTTAGCCGCGGCCCACAGAATAAGAAATTTGATCTTTGGCTGTGTTAGTGCAGAAGCGGGTGGAAACCGAAGTTCAAAAATGAAAAAAAAAACTCAAAAACCACGCCAAAAACGTCTTCAGGAGTTTACTTCTGAGGAAAAAGTGCGCTTAATAAAAGCTGTGGAGGAGCGCCCAGTGTTGTGGGACTTGACCCACAAAAAGCATTTCGATGCTGTGTTTATGAAGAGAACCTGGGAGGAGGTTGCGGTGGTCATGGACAACGATTGTAGGTTATAATTTTGCATTATTAAGTATTTGTGAACATAAGTGTATAATATATACTTATTATGCATAGATAATGGTTGCAAGCTGGCTTGGAAGTACCTGCGGGACAGCCTTAAGTACCACAACAAGGTCGGAAAGCAGAAGAGTGGAAGTGCTGGAGGAGATCTAGTGGAGAAGCCCAGCGGAAAGGAGTGTGCCGAGTGGGAATTCGCTCCGTACATGGACTTCTTGCCGGACGTGTCATCGCAAAGAAGGTAGGCTCTGGCCAAATGAATTTTGTTACGTTTTACTAATCATTTCAATTATAGCAGAACCACCAGTAGTGGGATCTTAGACGAGATTTCTATTGAAGACTGGACACTGGACTCCACCACCATCAGCTACTCTGCAGCTGAAGCGGAGCTGGAGGCCGCGCTAGAGGATGAGGTACCCGAGGAATTATATACCTACGTAAGTTGCTCTACTCGTGTTTGATTTTGTAACATTTATATGATTTTACTTTTACTTTCATAGGGAGGAGAAAAAAAGCCAGCCCCAAAGAAGCGAAAGCTGGATGGTGATGGCTCACCAGCCGTGGCCATGTGTAACATGCTGGGGGAATTCCTTCAGCATCAGCGGGCCAACACCACTCTATCAAGGCCCATATTGGCCTATTGGGATGGGGAGCTGAACGCCATGCGTCCGGAAGATGCTGCCAGGGTGGAGAAAAAGATGACACAGCTTCTGTGGGACGAAAAAGAATCCCTATGTTACTAATTTAGATTAATAAAACATTTGTTGAACATTTCAATTATTTTTATTTTATTTTCTTCATACACCAGCAGACTCGTCTTGCCAAGGTACTTGAGAATACCCAGCACTACCGTTTAGATATTCCATCAAGTTGCTTCGAACTTCCTTGCTGAAATCTTGGGGGCGACCTCGTCGGCAGGCTTCCAGGTCGACAAGCACGTTGCTCGGTACTTCGTGCAACGTGTAAGTTGTAGGATTTTTCCGCATCAAAAAATTATGCAGTGCACAACAGGCTGCTATAACTTTCTGAGACTTGCTTGGGTTACTCAGCAAAGCACAAAGCACAGCCATCCACCGTGCACTAAGAATTCCAAATGCAATCTCAATGCAACGGCGAGCACGACTCAGCCTATAGTTGAAAATGCGCTCCTTTCGATGCAGGTCCTTGCCACTGTATGGCTTCATAATGCGCTTATGAAGGGGAAACGCATCATCGCCGATTATGAAGTAGGGAGTTCGGTGCCCGTTTATCACTTTGTCCTCCGAAAACGGCAGCTCATCCAGAAGTAGGCGTTTTCCAAGAGTACTGTGCGAAAAAGCGTTCATGTCTCCCTCGCTTCCGAGCGCCCCGGCTTCTATGTAAGTGAATCGGTAGTGAGCGTCGCAGATTGCCATAAGCACAATCGAATGAAATCCCTACATAAATTAAATTTACTTATTAAATTTTCTTTGAAATTTAAAAGTACATACCTTATAATTGTAAAAAAGGCTTCCGCTATTAGTGGGGGCCTTTATCGCCACATGCTTCCCGTCGACGGCACCAAGACAGTTTGGAAAGTTTCATTCGTCTTTAAAGTCTTTCGCCCACCTCAGCAAGTTATCGGTGGTCCACTTCGGAAATTCCCCTTGCAACGCAGTCCAAATTGCTGTGCAAACCTGGTCGAGGATGACACCGAAATGTTGCTTGCTGATCCGATAAGTGGATCCAACATGGCGTTGCAGATCTCCAGAAGCAAGAAATCTAACAAAGGAATATTAAATCACAATATTAAAATACAATAATGGTATCAAAGTCTAGACTTATATGTATATATATTCTATTTACTCCAAAACGATGGCCAACTTCGCTTTTAGCGGTATGGCATCTGGCCGGGTGTTCCTTTTGGGGATAAGTTATTGTTCCACCAATCCAAAGAGTGCGTTGAAGCTGCTTTCCGGCATGTGGAAGTTCTCGAAGAACATGGATGGGGTGTTAACCAAGTTCTGAAACTTTAAAATAGAAGAAAATGCTCATAGGTGGAAGAGTATTTCTTTATTTTTCAACAATATTACTTACGTCTGAAGCATAGCGGCCTTTAAACGAGCGTTCCTTGAGATACGGGCTCACCCAATATTTCCGCCTCTGTGTCCTTTTTTCCGCCTCCTCCTGCTCTCCTGCGGCAATGCACATCGCCATACCTACTGCAAAGGTAAAGCTTGCGTCCTTGGTCTTCCACATTTTGTAGCTTTTAAATTTTCAATTTGTTTGATTTTTGTTTGTCAACAAACCCAGCTGATTGACAGTAAGACCATGCTATTTGCTTTGCGGATGAACTCTGAAAACTTCGGTCACACTGCAAAGAATAAGATTTTTCGACTAGTGAAAATCTTAGCCGATCTGAGTACTAGGCTTAAGCCAATAACGCCAAAACTCCTTAACTCCATCCTAGTGTTAATAGGCTTCAAGAATCTGGTGTGCAGAGGACATAAAACTTTTTCCGTGATGCAATTTTAAGCGGTGTGTTTAAGTGTGCAAAGGGTATTTATGTAAGCCTGGTATTTTAAAAAACGGAAAGATACACACTCAACGAATATTTCGATAACGATATAAGGAAACTGACATATGTGTATGTGCATTTGTAAAATTGTCAAAATTTAAGTTTGAAAATATTTGTTGAAATGGCTACAGCAGGTTAGAAAGATTTTACATTTTATTGTTTATTAAAAAAAGTTTTCTTCCTCTTTGTTGGAAACTTATTATAATAGGGTAAATTTTAACTTACTATCGGAGATTCCACATGGTTTTATTTTTGACACGTAATGTGAACGTGTGATTCATGTATACACTGTTCATATGTGTATGTATGAAAGAAAATAGGTTATTAGTGGTGGTGTCAAAAATCTCTTTGGCGAAGTGCGGGGGACATTACCGTATGCACCCAAACAAGTTTCCCCCAAATTTCGGTAACAAAATGTTGGACACCCCTGTGTGTTGTTTATTGAATGTACTAATGTGGCCAAAAAGTAAGGTGAATTTGTTTGTAATTAAATTAAAAATCTTTATTCTAAATCTATTTCACCCCAATTAAAGTAATCCCCTCCCGATAAAACAAACTTATGCCAACGTTTTTCTCAATTCTCGAAATATGCCAAAGAGTCCCTTTCCGATATAGCCAACAGCACCTTCGGTTTTTTTTTAACCTGAATCGATTCGAAACGCGTTCCCCGGAGTGGTCTCTAGAGTTTTGTGAGTAGTCAGAAGTCACACGGAGCCAACTCAGGCGAATACGGTAATTGCGGAACGATATGCGTCGAACTTTTGGCGAATTAGTCACGAAGAACGAATAAAATTTAAGCCGGTGCATTATCGTGATGCAAAATCCAAGAGTTGTTGGTCTGGTCTTTTTAAAATAATTGCTTCACGAAAACGACGCTTAAATAACATTCCTTATTAACAGTTTGGCCCGGTGAGAGGTATTCATAGCCCACCACACCATAAAAATCAAAAACAAGGAATTACGCCATAGTCGCGTACCTCAACTATCAGATAACCGTTACTCAGCTAATGGGACAAAAGGGAAATGGAGATATGCAAGCAGCAAAGCGAGACTGAAATTCACTCCTACCACTGATCTCAATATATGGTTATGTGGGCGGTAGGCAGATTTAAGCGTTATGGGCATTGGAGTGAGCGGGCCAATTTTTTTTTTTTAATCGATAGGTATTGACTAGATTAATACATTTCAGTTAAAATTTTTTATCTTGCATAAAAATTGTGGGCGGCTTGTGGGCGTTAGAGTGGGCGTGGTACGCTGCGTAAGAAGCTCAGGAATCTGCATGCCGAATCCCAATAGTGTAGCTCTTATAGTTTCCGAGGACGGACAGATTGACAAGGCTAGAGCGACTCGGCTAGTGATCCGGATCAAGAATATGGGGTCGGAAACTCTTCCTTTTGCCTGTTACATACTTACAAAGAATCTAGTATACCCTTTTACTCTATGAGTAACGGGTATAAAAACAAATTCACCTTTTGCCGACAAAAGTACATATTTAGTTTTTGTTAATGTCAATATGAAAATTGAAAAAAAAAAAAAAATAAATGTATGAAACAAAACGTGAAGTGGATCCCATTAATATTCGTTTTTTTTTCAACTGAAAAATAAAGCTTTAATACCAATTCCTACGGGTACATATCTTATGGTTACATTAAAAAATAAAAGTAAAAACATACATAAACAAAAGAACTCAACATTTTGCGTTACTTCAATATTCGGTATGGTAGTCATTATTTTTTAAGGTATCAGGCATCGTTTTGGCATATTTGCTATAATTTTGTTTGTGAATTCCGGCCCAATTTTAGCACACTCTTCTTGAAGCCGTTCCCTAAAGGCCGATATGGACGATATAGGCCTTTTGTCTACAGGGCGATCCAACTCACTGCACAAATTCGCAATTCGATTGAGATCAGGTGATTGGAGAGGCAGTTCCAAGACTTTTGAAAAGTTATACAGCAACCAGGACCTTACTTTATGGGCCTTGTGCTTCGGATCGTTGTCCTTTTCTTCGTCAACTGCTTCAAATTTTCTTTCAAAGTTTTTAGGTGCTGGTCCTGGTTTATTATACCATAAACAACTATCATATTTCCCACACCTTTTGTGAAAATGCAGCCCCAAATCATCATATCTATCATCCCCGCCGTGTTTTACTGTTGGTCTAAGGTGTTTTTCTGGAGCTTAGTATTTAGTTTCCTCCAAACCAGTCTTGCCGTCACTGCCGAAAAGGTTGGCCAACAATTTGGCCTTCAATTCTGGATGAGTTTTCTTGACTTTTCGAACTATTTCGGCTCTTCGCGATCAGTCTTTCTTTTTGGTTGTCCTCTTTCCACATTTCAAATCTTCGGACGATGTCACCGTCCACACCGTTTAAACGCCACTGGAGAAGAAGTTTTCGCTGCTCCATGGACGAATAGCGACCCATTTTAAATTCGGGACTAAAACCTTGCGTCTTCTTTGGTGTCATCTATAACACAATTTTTGGCCGATTGGAGTTCTAACAGCATTTTTTCACGACTTTAAATTTCAAATAACGTGTTAAAATATATATATACGAGGGTGGTCCGATAAGTACTTAGCCTCCAAAATAAAAACGTAAATTTTGGAAAAGTGGCGATTTATTTCTCAACATAATCTCCTTTTAGCTCGATACACTTGACCCAGCGATGCTCCAAATCTTTAAGAAAAATACGTTTTTTCGAGGTCTGCAAAATAGGCCTTTCTGTCCAGCGAGTGATTTTTTCAAGTTTGGAAACAAAAAGAAGTCACACGGGGCCAAATCTGGAGAATATGGTGGTGGGGTAGCAGTTCGTAGCCCAACTCGACCAATTTGGCATTGGTGAGGGCGGAAGTGTGAGCCGGTGCGTTGTCATGATGGAAGAGCACTTTTTTCTTCGCCAAATGGCGCCGTATTTTCTGCAATTCGGCGGCGAATCGGCCCAATAATTCGGCATAGTACAGCCTTGTGACCGCTTTGCCCTTCTCCAGTTAGTCGATGTAGATCACACCTTGTGAGTCCCAAAAAACGGTGGCCATCACCTTTCCGGCCGATGGGACAGTCTTCGCCATCTTCGGAGAAGGTTCGCCGGGTAAAGTCCGCTGTTTCGACTGTTCCTTGGTCTCTGGTGTGTACCAGTGGATCCATGTTTCGTCGACGGTCACGAAACGACGCAGAAACTCCTTCGGATTGCGCTTAAACAGCGTCAAACAATGCTCTGAAGTGGTCTCACGGTTGCGTTTGTTGTCCGGAGTGAGCAAACGCGGCATCCATCCCGCCGACAGCTTTCTCATGCCCAAAATTTCCTGCAGGATATGACCCACGCTTTCTTTTGACATGCCTACTGTCCCAGCTATCTCGCGTATCTTCAATCGGCGGTCTGCCAATACGAGATTGTGGATTTTTGTCACGTTATCCTCCGTGTTAGCCGTTTTCGGGACACCTGGGCGTTGCTCATCAAAAACCGACGTGTGACCACGTTCAAACTCGTTGAACCCATTTTTGACGGTCGCCATCGAAGGAGAAGAGTCACCGTACACAGCATCCAAGCGCTCTTTGATTTCGCTGCGCGATTTCCCTTCCAAAAACAAGAATCGAATCACAGACCTATCTATATCCATTTTTCTAAAATCCGCGGACACGTCCGATTCCACCCGCAATCTAATCAAAACTACGAGTCCGATTCGGCTGAAATTTCGACAGTAGTCGTCTACGAGAATGTACTACACGATAGTAAATTTCTCTTGCGGTAGTGACGCCATCGGGCAGTGAGGCTAAGTACTTATCGGACTGCCCTCGTCTCTATAAAAAGGCAATATTAAAAGCTTAAATATACCAATAAGAAACAAATTGTCTTCATTAGTCTTATACATTTTTTTCGCGTTTGAAGTTGAAAAAAAAAAACCGAATAATGGGATCCACTGTAGTCATTTTAATTAAATGTCCTTTTATAATAAAATGAACCAAATAATGCGAATTTATTGTCTACTGGGGGTGTCACAGAAACCTCATTGAACGAAAATTGATTGAAATTCTTTTATACATGCATACGAACCTTTTTCAAGTTCCAGCTGTTTTTGGATGGAAGAGAATCTTATGACGACCCAAAATATTTAGATTTAATTCATAGATACATACGTTAATTTGTAAATATACTTTCAAAAAACATTCATTTTAGGAAAAAAGGGTAAAAAGAATAAAGGAACCGTTATTTCGTTGCAATCGTTTTTATCTAATGCCGATGCACCGGTTGGAACCACTCAAGTTTCAAAAAAAATTCGAAATTTTGATGGTGAAGACAGTGATGAAGGAAGTGGTTCATTGCCCTTAATTTATCAGCTTCCTACAGCGCCAAGGGCCAATCGAATATTTGATGATAATTCTATTCCTCATAAAGCCCCGTTTATTGCTTATATCAATAACTTGCCGTTTGATGCAAACGAAGACGACCTTTATGAATTTTTTGGAGGTATTAATTTAATTTCTCTGAGACTTCCACGTGAAGATGGCGAAAACGGCCGTTCAAGGGGCTTTGGCTATGTTGAGTTAGAATCTCGAGAAGATTTAATTCATGTGCTAAGTTTACCAGATCCATCTATTAAAGGTCGCCGCATTCGCATTGAGCTATCCAATGAGAACGATCAGCAAAACCGGCAGAAAAGTAACAGGCGGTTTGATGGCTTTGGTAATAGCGGAGATAATAGAGACTCTGGCAATTGGAGACGAGATAGTCAAAATAATGGCAGTAGTTTTGGATATTCTTCCAATTTTGACAGAAGCTTTAATAGGGAAAGAAAACCTGTGCCAGAAAGAGAAGAAGCAAACACCCCTGGATCTTGGCGTACAAGTGCCAGACAGCAATCTTTTGATTCGTCGCCCTCTCGAGGGGATGTTGACCAAGTATCTGAAAAATATCGCGACGGTCGAGGCAGAATTGCGGAAAGATACTCGCGGGAAGATACTCCCAAGTTTGAAGAAAGGCCAAAACTAAATTTAAAACCACGAACTCTACCATTGCCCGATATAAAAAAAATTGACTTCGAAAAAAGTGATGTCGACGAAACAAATTCAGCTAAGCAAAGTGGAACTTCATCAATGAACGTGTTCGGATCCGCAAAACCGGTAGATACAGCTGCGAGAGAATTAGCGATTGAGGAACGTTTAGCTCTCGCTCGAAAACAGGATATGGGTCGCCAAGAGGAGGAGTTTTTGAGTGACAAGCTTGGTGAAGTCCAAATGGATAAAAACGATAACGAAAGTATAAATGCAACAGTAAGCTGGCGCCAGAATCAAGACAATAAGGAGGATAAAACAATAAATATGTATCAAGGTAATTATTATTTTTTATTACCTTAAACCAGTTAATGTAGAAAAGCCAATTTATACCTACAACCACTTGATTTAATTATGTTGTTAATTTTTTTTGGGCATATTTATACCCCTTAAATCGTGTGCTCTATTTTGTTCCTTGAAGAGTACGTAGTAGCTCCATTGTGGCTTGTTTTCCTTTCCGATTTACAGCATTTTAAATTTTTTGTTGAACTAGACTACATAGAGAAAAATCTAGCAAAAATTACTTTCGATTTTATAATTTTTAGAGTTTTTAAGTTGGAGACAAGTCCATTTAAGGAACGGATCACTTTATTGTTTGAGCTTTTACAATAAATTCGTTATAGTTTTTATAAACTAACATTAGCAACATAAATTTTCTAAAAATGAATTTATATATAATAAGATAGCTTTTTTTTAAGGGTTGGTATATATTAGATGTTTAAATTCACGTATACGAAATGTAAGCCAATACGAAAATTTGGTATTTACTTCTGCAAATGGCATAAATATACCTATAGGTATTTTTCAAATAAACCTTGTTATAAGACTCGAAGGCAAACGTCAATATGTACATACTTCTGTCTCCGATCGAGATCAAGACTTGCACCCACAAGTTGTTAGTTAGTTATCTTTAACTAGAAATTGAGTTTAAAAACCGTTAATTATAGATTGCTAACAGTACAAACACAAATTTGGACTCTGAAAAATGTTATGTTAATCAAAAGGGTAATACTATGTTTTAATTTTTGGCTTTTTTGTCAAATCATAAAAAACCTGGTTAATTAACATTTTGCACTTAAATATTTTGGTTTGAGTTACAAATGTTGGCACTACTATTTTTATGACCGGTCGAACTTGAACATAATTCCTTGAAATTACCATAATATGGGACCTATGCTGTGTTCTACTCTATACAGTGTAATTTAACTAAAAAATGTAATAAGAGGAGAATAGCCGCAGTTGAAGTTTTAAGTGGGACGGTACGTGCTCTAGTATTTCCGCATGATCGCAACTGTATTCTTAAGAGTATTCTAGTTAACCAGACATTTTAGTCTCTCTGGACGTATGAATTAAATCTGAAAAAAATCTATAATATTAATAATTTTGTACATCGTATTTTCTTACATAGGAAATATTATTAGCATCCTGCTGCTGCCTAAAAATAAATGTTTAGTTTAAATGGATTGGGATTTCAATTGTAAATATTGTATAAGCTCCATCTGTCAAGAAATAACATCTCAATAATAGGACTCGAAGTTATAAACAAAATATTACTCACTTTTATCTTTGCTACTTAAATTAAAATTAAAGCGTTCCTCATTTCCACACCATCGTAAAGGTAAAGGTTTTATTGAACTGTTATCTTCGAATTTTAAAATTTTATAATTTCTGCATGGCTTTTCTACAAAAATGTATGGATTTTATTCATACGCACGCACGAATATCTTGTTTTCAATATTTTTGCTGTCTTTAGATTTCTACTTGGTTTTTAAAGACGGGTGTGGGGATAACCCATGCAACTATTTGTTTAAAGAAATAAATTTGTTAAAACATAGGTCGCGTATTGTACCAGTTTATATTAAGCAAGCGTCTTTGATTTTTTTCGTTTTTTGTTAAGCCGTTTCTGGTGCAGGAGATACTGGTCATTACTTTTAGGGGTTCCTTTATTATTATACCCGTTACTCGTAGAGTAAAAGGGTATACTAGATTCGTCGGAAAGTATGTAACAGGCAGAAGGAAGCGTTTCCGACCCCACAAAGTATATATATTCTTGATCAGGATCACTAGCCGAGTCGATCTAGCCATGTCCGTCTGTCCGTCTGTCTGTCCGTCCGGATGAACGCTGAGATCTCGGAAACTATGGGAGCTAGGCTGTTGAGATTTGGCGTGCAGATTCCTGAGCTTCTTACGCAGCGCAAGTTTGTTTCGGCGCAGTGCCACGCCCACTCTAACGCCCACAAACCGCCCAAAACTGTGGCTCCTACAGTTTTGATGCTAGAATAAAAATTTTAACTGAAATGTATTGTTCTCATCAATAACTATCGATTGACCCAAAAAAAAGTTTGCCACGCCCACTTTAACGCCCACAAACCGCGAAAACCTGTGACGCCCACAATTTTCATGCTAGATAAAAAATTTTAACTGAAATGTATTGGTCTCGTCGATACCTATCGATTGATCCAAAAAAAAATTTGCCACGCCCACTCTAACGCCCATAACGCTTAAATCTGTATACCGCCGGTAGGTGGCGCATTTTAATCTCGCTTTGCTGCTTGCATATCTCCATATAGCTGAGTAACGGGTATCTGATAGTCGAGGTACTCGACTATAGCGTTCTTCCTTGTTTAGTATAGATTTATTCGAATAAATCCAAAGGCTTTTGATGACGAAGTTTTTTACAAAAGACCGTCATAGCCGTTTTTTTTTTTAAATATTTAGAAAGCTTTGAGCACTGAAATCGACTATTCACTTGCTACAAATAATGTCGATGCTTAAATTAATGTTTAATGTTTAACCAATTATCTCTCAATCTCTTTCTAAGCCTCAAATGAATGAAGCGAAAAATGTTTCGCCAATTCCTATTGATTGATCTTAAAAAAAGGTTTACATGCCCACTCTAACGTCCATATCGCGAAAAATCTATCACATTTTTAAAGATTTTCTAAAAGCGCAAAGGGAATTTCGAGTTTAATAACTTTGCACACATTGTTCAAATCAAAACATGAGGGTCTGACCAAAGAACGTAATAGCCGCTAGCATGCGCCCTGGTATTTTGGGAGTCTTCATCTCCCTTGCGCTCCCTTTAGCTGAGTAATGAGTATCTGGTAGTCAAGGCACTCGACAAAGGTGTTCTTCCTTGGGCTTCAATAACTTTCGGACTGCGATCATATAGTCGTTCGAATAAAAACACTTTAATACAAATTTTTAAAATCCTATAAAGACCCACAGAGTAGAAGACTCTATGGTAAACAAGAAAAAAAGTTATATACCCTTGCAGCTTCAATTATTAAATTTACAAACACAAAAAATGATATTCCCAATAGTATAAGATAATATGTCAAACAAGGAAGTACGCTATAGTCGAGTACCTCGACTATCACATACCCGTTACTCAAAGGGAAATGGAGATATGCAAGCAGCAAAGCGAAATTAAAATGCGGCACCTACCGGCGGTAGACAGATTTAAGCGTTATGAACGTTAGAGTGGGCGTGGCAAATTTATTTTTGGATCAATCGATAGGTATTGACGACACCAATACATTTCAGTTAAAATTTTTTATCTAGCATCCAAATTGTGGGCGTCACAAGTTTTCGCGGTTTGTGGGCGTTTAAGTGGGCGTGGCAAACTTTTTTTTAGGTCAATCGATAGGTATTGATGAGAACAATACATTTCAGTTAATTTCAGTTAATTTTCAGTTAATTTTCTGTCTAGCATCAAAACTGTAGGAGTTACAGTTTTGGGCGGTAGAGTGGGCGTGGCAGTCTACTGAAACAAACTTGCGCTGCGTAAGAAGCTCAGGAATCTGTACGCCAAATCTCAATAGCCTAACTCTCATAGTTTCCGAGATCTCAGCGTTCATCCGGACAGACAGACGGACAGACGGTCAGACGGACAGACGGACAGACGGACATGGCTAGATCGACTCGGCTAGTGATCCTGATCAAGAATATATATACTTTATGGGGTCGGAAACGCTTCCTTCTGCCTGTTACATACTTTCCGACGAATCTAGTATACCCTTTTACGCTACGAGTAACGGGTATAAAAACACCGAAGCTATAATTTGTTTCATATTATTTTTCTACCAATTTTCCGATCGTTCCTATGGCAGCTATATGATATAGTCGTCCGATTTTGATACAATTTTATTCGAAATTCAGAACTAATTAAAAAATGTTTTTTCCAAGCGTAGGAGGTTATATGTTAAAAAACACCGAAGCTATAATTTGTTTCATGTTATTTTCCTACCAATTTTCCGATCGTTCCTATGGCAGCTACAGCTGTGTTCTTTAAAATAGCAGTGCGACAGAAGCGAAACTATATAACGGTTTATAAGCATAGTCCTTTTCGTTAGTTAATCGCTAGTACATTTATTTTGTAGAATGGATCATAGAGATATAAAATAAGCCAAAACCACATTAAATTTGGTCTGTTTTTGGGTTCCTTTCATATTTTTGCACATGGACACAACATTTCGGCTGTTCACTAAAATAGCAGTTTTTGATTTTCCTCCAGGAAAAGTCCCGAAAATGTTTGTAACTTGGTAAAAATAGGTTTTTAATGAAGACCACTATTATAAATTGAACCATAATACACTATACCTATAGAAAAAAATTAACTTTAGTGGGTAGAGGAGCTCATTGCTTCAAGGGAGAAAGGAAAAAGTGATTGAGCTTAGAAAGGAGGGCAAAACGTATCAATATATTCAAAGTCCCTTAAAATGTACAGCCAATATGAGTTACAATGCCATAAACTATGAACCGAAGCCCGAAAAACGTTATGCGATACAGAAAACCACAATTATAGAGGACGTTCGCAAAGTGCGCTTCAGCAAAACTTATCCTTGTGCATCCTGTAGGACTATGAAAGCGGATGTGAGCTTGGGAATCAGGGATGGCACTATTCTCCGAAGTCTGTTCGATGAAAATTTGAATGCTAGAAGTCCACCAAAGGAGCCATTACTTGGAAAAAGACGCCCCAAAGACAAGTTGAAGTTTGCCAAAAGCCACTTGAACTAGCCACTTTCAAAAGGCGAAATATCCTTTGGACAGATGAGTCTTAGCTGGTGTTTTTTGGTGGAACAGGTTCAAAATAGTATGTCCGTCGACCACCAAACACCGGGTACCACCCAAAACAAAATCTCAAGACCGTTAAGCAGATGGCCTTAAAATCATGGTATGGGCAAATTTCTCATATAGCGGTGTTGGCCCCATACGTTTGATCGATGAGATCATGGACCAACATGTTTACGTAAATATACCGAGAAACGTCATTCT